TCGATAAGGAATACATGGAGATTAATTTTTATTAACCCAGAAAAAAATCATTTAGTGAACATTGTATTTATCAAAGTGCTGATATACGTGAAATATGTTCATTATATGCCGATGTTAGAAAATTATTCTCAAATATTCTCTAACCCCTAAAATATGCTTTTTTATGCAAAATAAATTTTTTCCTGTGAATTCTGTGTTTCGTGAATCGTAAAGATTTCTCACTCCCATTTAACTGCATAGACTAGAAACAAATATGTAAAATCATAAAAATCCGATCTCTAGTTATCGTCGAATCGAACTCCATCGTACACAGAATAACTAGAAGGCTCACTTAATGAGAACCACGGACTGAAGTCTAAGATATCTAAAGCCGTGATGAGAAATTGAGAACTCGGAAATCAGTGAAAATGTTTGGGCTTTTACACATTATTCGTATCCCATGGAATAACTGACAACAATTTAGCATTTTATAGTGTTTACTCCATGAACGAAGAATTTTATTTATTGTCATTGTATTATTTTGTTATTTGACATTTGTTGGTTCGTACCGATGTCCGAATATAGTCCGATAGTCGAAATGTGCCGTTGACCGTTGTTCGTTGTGCCGTAAGCCCGTGAAACCCATGTGTTACATACTCAGTACTCACATTATACTATTATAGACTAGGTATAGTAAAGTTGCATGCTATTGTCGAGTGTCGAGTGTTTATTTCGTTGGTAATATGGCTAAGTTTGGATGCATTTCGACAAAATCAACAAATCAAGTGCAAAATGCAAAATATGTGGCAAAATATATCCAACAGCAGGAAACACTTCAAACCTAAACTCCCATCTAAATAATGTTCATAATCATAAAACTAAAACATTAAAATCAAATGTTTTGGAAAAATGCGTCGATGAACATAATGTTGATGATCCTGATTCTGTGAGTACATCTCAATTAAGAATAATTATGTACCTATTTTATGCTTAGAAGCATGTTTATTATTTAAATAATTCTCTTTTTTTAAGATTTTAAGTACATAGACGACTCCAATTTTTGATGAAAGCGTTTCTGTCGCTAGTAGTAGTAAAACAATTAGTACCAATGATTTTCCTTCAAAAATAATTCAACCATCAATTGAAAGGGCAATGAACCATGTGAAATCCATGAAAGGTAACTTATTTAAAATGTTACATTTTTTATGCTAATAGCCAAAACAATAATTTATTGTTAATAAATAGGTATTAAAAAATACTAAAAAAAATATTAAAAAATATTAAAAAATGTAGGAACAAATTGTGTTTTTTAAATTCGATTACTTAATACACAGTTTTATAAATAATGATGAGTTTATTTGCTTAACTTTTTTAAATTATAATTTTTAACTGAGGCCGAATTTAGTTTTCAAATTTTTGTTTCAATAGAGTTATTTATTTTGTATTTACAGTAGGTGGAGTAAAAAATACAGAAATAACTGAGGCACTGATATATTATATATGTAAAGACAGTGTACCTTTTCTGACAGTCGACGGCAAAGGTTTTAAATAATTTTTAAAAGTGGCAGGTCCGCTTTATAGTAATCCTTCGAGAAACACAATAAAAAATAAATTAGATGAAAAATACAATTATTTATCTACCAAGTTTAAACAAAGACTCAAACAACAAAACAATTTTAGCCTAACTTCAGATATTTGGACTGATATTCAAATGAAGAGTTTTCTCGGTGTTACCATTCATTTTTTTGGAAAACAATACATTTGTATCTGGTAATATTTAAAAACATTTTAAATACCTATTTAAAATAATAGTTATTATTATAAATTTTATTTATTGTAATTTAGGAACATTAGGTGTGTACGAACTCAACGAATCACATACTGCTGAGTATATTAGTCAAATATTTGAAGAAATATTATTTGAATGGGGATTAAATAAATCACAAATAATTGCAATTGTCACTGATAGTAGTAAATAATAATACTTAACATTTTATTTATTCAACTATATTTCTTTTAATGCGTGTTTGTAGGTGCAAATATAAATATATACCTACTATAATGTATGTATTACCATGCACTCGCCGATGGGCGATGAGTTGTTTTATGTTTACTCGTATGATTCGTACACAAAATTAATAGGTACATAAATCTATACTAAGTATATGATCTAAGGAGTGAATTGACCTATTATCAAATTTAAATGTCAGAACATTATTATAATACATTTTTAAAATTTTTAAATATTGGTATATTATGCGTCAACAAAACGGATACAACATAGCATAGAACTATAAAGTAATTGCAACTCTATGCAACATAATAATGTGCTGGTAGGTTTGACGTTTTGATTTCCGTCGATAATAACAAGTCTGGCTGTTACTATAAAAATCAAACGGCTTCAAGGGAAACCGTTTGTGTACAATATCATTATGATTAGTTATAGAAACTATAAATAGTGTCGTTATAAATACAGTCGATTACGGCACCAAAGTGTTATCATTTTTTTTTATCAATGTCATCACATAATATGATAGTATCACCTATAATTTATGTTAAATATAATAATAATATTATATTATATAATTCTTAATTCTAATTTCTTAATTAACTAAATAAAGTTTTTATAAAGAACTTTTGGCACTTTGGAGAAACATTGCTGATAGTAGAGACGACACTGAGTTCACAGAAAAAGTTGAGAAAATGAAGTTGACTGAATCATGGCTGAAGAATCCAAAGGCACAGGAATACTTCATCAGAACCTGGCTTTCTGTTGAAGAAAAATGGACAAATAAATTTTTTAAATTAGAATATGACATAAAAGTTGCCACAAATAATGGGGTAGAGTCTCCATGAAAAAAAAATTAATAAAATAAAGTTAGATCAATTGTTGTTTGAAGTAAAGAGTGAAAGTGACTCTACCTTATACATGGTAAATTTTCAATAACCAAGTTGTACATGTTTGGATTTCAACAAGTATCATTGGCCGTGTAAACATATATGTGCATTATTTATTTATGTACCAGAATGTTCATTTGAGGATTTACCACAAACATTCCAAAATAATGTTTTCATTTCACCTGATCCTCGGTATTCAATTACTAATAATACAGATCAATTAATTATAAACAAAGTTACAGTTTTGAATGCCTCTGTAAATCCAAGTTCTGACTTGGAATTAACAACTAATGAAAATATTTCAAACATACCAGTTCAATGTCGAGAATTGCTCAAAAAATGATTGATTTAACTTACATCATAGACGAAAAACAACATCCAGAATGGTCAAACGAACTAGATACTTTAAATAATGTCCATAATAAAATGAGTGAAATGGTTATGAAGAAAAATGGTTTAACACTGCTACCTACAAAACGTAGTTCAACAGTATTATTAGATTTACCAAAAAGCCATAAAAGACATAAATCAAAAGACTAACCTAACCTAATTTAATATTATTTATACTTTATTTAGTTAATTAAGAAATTAGAATTAATTAGAATTAAGAATAATATAATATTATATTATTATTATATTTAACATAGTGTAATGGGATTACGTAATATCATGTATTTGCTCATAAAAACAACCAGGAATGCGACCACACCCAAAAGTGTTTACGACTAGAATACCACTTTTAGTCGTGAGGTCCATATCAAGGACGACTGTACACGCGCCGCTCACTTCAAAGGACGCCGCCACCATATATATAGGGGACAGCGAGACAGCCTGAGTAGATGTATCCAGAGACGTGAACAACACACGACTTGCTTAGCCACCAGCCATCACACATAATTACACGGAGATTATCAATTCTAGAACGAGCTACAATTCACTCAACTACACAATCAACACGACTGTTCTGCTTATTTTGTCTGGTTTAATAAAATACATTTGATTACTATACTAATTTGACTATTATTATTTTTTATAATAGTACATCAGCTTTTGGATCCCTGAAGGGCCGTACGTAACAATAGATTATAGGTGATACTATCATATTATGTGATAACATTGATAAAAAAAAAAAATGATAACACTTTGGTGCCGTAATCGACTGTATTTATAACGACCCCTATAAATAATACTATATATACTATTGACTATACATAAATATATTATATATTATATATATTATTATATTATATAAATATAATATACTATAATATATACTTTTTAAATTCATGATAATAATATATTATAGTATGCGGGCCCGGCGCAAAATTGAACAGACTACACCACACGCCAACCCACCCAATGTTCCTATTGTTCGTTGGTTACTAGTTTCGTGGAAAACCGACCGCTCGGGTCCAACGTCATTGTTTTTTTTTCACAAAGTATTTTTGTACAATAATTCGTATATATTATGTAAATAAACACTGCTATTGTGTTGGTTGACGTTGTGCCGTTTTGTGCCCAATAATAACCGGGGCGGCTCGCCACAGGAGACTTAGATACTTGTAAATTATAATATAGAAGTTATTGAAAATATATTATATTGTAACATCGTGTTATCGTATATTATATCGTCGGTATGTCGATGTCAATATTATTTTAGTAATTCGGTCGACGGATTTAGTGAAACTGCCGTCCGACAGTAATTTCAATCACGGTTATCTACTCAGGTTGGCGTTCGCGCAATGCTGTATGTAGAATATCGCGGTCATGAGCGGTGTGTATTGGAACTAATAGCGCTAGTGGTTTGTGGCCATACTATTACCACATAAAGCATTAAAGAATAATGAGTTTATTATTTAATTCACACTTATTTACAATTACTTATTATTTATTATTATACTACCTATAATATATTCTTTGTAATATAATTTTTATTTTTTAAGACTTACTATTTATTATTTAATATTTTAATCACAGTTGTCAGTTATCACTGTAGATAAACCGTTTATCAAACGCTCGTCTTACGTGCATAGTGAATAATCCCGAATCCGACCGAAGTTTCAAGTTTATGTTTCGTCTTTTATGTGAATTGTTTCTTAATTCATTTTTTTTAAAATGGTCAAATGTTGCGTGGTGTATTTTGTAAATCTGGTTATTACAAAAACTGCAATGAAGAGAAAGTTCATCAATTTCGATGTCCCAAAGAGGAAGATCTCAGAAAAAAGTGGGCACGAGCGATTCCTCGTAAAAATTTCGTTTTGAACAGTAACCATTTTGTTTGTTCCAAACATTTTAAAGAAGACGACATAATAAGATATTGGCGTTCTGGTTCAGTACAGGTAACATATTATGTCATTCTTATAAATATTTACTAGGTAGATGGTGTTACAATAAAATAACAATGTAATATTATTATAGCTCTTTACTATATTAGGTAAAGGCCTGCACGTATAACTTTGTCAAATATTAACTATAATATATATTTTATACCTAAACATAAATTATAAATTATAATTTACTAAGTTAGTATATTACTTTAAAAAAAAATAGTCAGAATAATACAATTAATAATTATACATTTGTAAATTAAATTAATTATGTTATATTATATTTTGTATATATCACTAAAATGTTTATTTTGTTTTTATTCTGAATAGATTCCATACAAGAGAATCCAATTAAAAAAAGGAGCTGTTCCATCTATCTTCCCAGGACCAGCATACCTATCAATTTCAAAAAAAGTAAGAAAAGCACCTACTCCTCGTCAACATAATTCAGTGTCCAAAACGTATAAAGATTTACCAACATGTTTAGAGTTGGCTCAAAATGTAGCTGACAATAATCTTTTCAAACAATTAAATGCATATGAAAATCTAAATTCAATAATCCAATGGCCCAAGATTTCTCAATCTTGTAATGAATGTGTTATTGATTCAAGTTTATGTTTTGTTTCTTTTTGCTCTGGAGGTTTGTATCCAGTAGTTGAAAAGTTTGCGAAGGTGGATAAACTTGGTAAAATATCATTTGGAATTTTTGGCCAAGAGGTAGACAGTAGTATTCTAGATATTGTACCAGGAGAAAACATTTATGAGTTTGCAAAAAACATTGAAGACTTTGAGAATGTACGTGTCTGTCATGGAGGCCCAAAGCTTGAAGAATTTCCAAATTGCACAATGAATATATGCATAATATCAACAACAACAAGACTAAGGCATAATCTTTGTCGTTTAGTGTTGAAAACAAATTCTACTGCTTGTTCTCGATGTGTAAGATTAAGAAACACTTTTAATATGCAAAAAGAAAGAAAATCCTCCAAAAAAAAAATATTTTATTATTATCACCATCTAAAAAACAGGTTATTAACAAATTACGCCGAGTTAAGGACAATCTAAGAAAAAAATGTATTAGGGCAAAGCAGAAAATAATTAATTTGAAATTGAAGTTAAGCAAAGTTCAAAATGAAATGGCTAATATCTCTGATGAGTCCATTAAAGAAAAATTAAACCTATGTCAGAATATGAATGAATCTCAGAAAATTCTAATTCTTGAATGTTTTGCAGCTTGTAAGGTAAAAAATTGCAAAAGTCGCAGGTATACGGAAAATTGGTTGATGCTCTGTTTGTTATTAAACATAAGATGCCCGAGTGCTTACAAATACTTGAGGAACAGTGAGTTACTACCTCTTCCACATCCAAAAACCATAAGACGTCACCTTTCTTTAGTGAAGACATATTGTGGATTCGATCAAGATTTTTTTAAATTATTTAAAAAACGAGTTGATCATATGAGTGATATGGAGAAACATGGTGTCCTGTTATTTGACTCTATTAACCTTAGAAAAGGTTTACATGTAAACACATCTACTCTATCTTATATTGGTCTTGAGGACTATGGTGATGAAGTAGCTAGTGCTGAACATAAGGATTATGCGGATCATGCCTTGGTGTTTATGTTCCAGTCCTTAGGCTCTAATTTTTATCAAACTATTGGATGTTTTGCATCAAAAAGTGAAGTAAAAGGTAAATTATATGAATTCATATGGATTATTACAACTTATAACTAAAATAAATTATATTATGGGCAGGAGTTATTTTGGGACAGTTACTTTTGAAAGCTATAACTCTTTTGCACAACATTGGAATTTCAATTGATGGTATTGTTTGTGATGGAGCTGCAACCAACCGAAAAATGTGGTCTATTCTAGGTATTGTTGGTACTCAAAATAAGACCAAGCACTATTTTACACACCCAATTGTCCCAAATAAAAAAGTTTATGCATTTTCCGACTTCATACATCTGTTCAAGTGTGTACGCAATCGTCTGTATAATAAAAAACATTTAAGGGTAAAAAAATTTAACTTAATTTTTTAATAATTCCATATTTATTTATTTAAATTTTTTATTTTGATATACTGTATAGCTTCATCCAAATTCTGAATACGTTTCGTGGGAATACTTTAAAGAAGTATACAAAGAAGACATTAAAAATCCAGCTAATCTTAGGATAATTCCAAGAATTACAATTCAGCACATTGAACTGACATCAATGGCTAAAATGAGGGTTCGTTTGTGTACGCAGGTATAGTTTGAAATTAAAATGTGATAATTTATTTAATATTTTTTAGCTACTTAATGTTCAATTTTATATTAAAGGTATTAAGTTCAAGTATGGCTAAAGCTTTGTCTTATTATACAAACAAAGGTTGTCTCACGTTAAAAGGTTCATCTGAAACTGCTAAGTTTGCAGAGTTTTGGAACAACCTTTTTGATGCCTTTAATCGTAATTTGCCATGGCAAGGTCTTAAATCTAATGATGAACAAGGTTTCCAGGTAAAATGAATAATATTGTATAATTATTATTTATTTATCTTTATTAATTATTAAATATATACATTTTTAATTATAGATTTTCAAGGATGCATTGGAGTACCTCAATTGTTGGGAAAATCAAATGCTTAGTGGAAATATTAATCCAGAAGAATTCCTAACTACTCAAACATCTGAAGGTCTTCGTGTAACATTGAAGTCAACAATAGATTTATCTAAGTATTTGATGGAAAACGCTGGATTTAGTTATGTTCTTACTGGAAAAATGTGCCAAGATCCCCTTGAAGTATAAAATAAAATAATCCTTTTAAATGTTTTATTAAAAGATTTTATTTTTACAGAAATTTTTTGGAGTTATACGGCAAGCATCTGGTCCTAATGATCATCCCACAGCACCTACATTCCTCCATCTTTACAGAATCTTGTCAGTTTATTCTATTTTGAAACCGCCAAAGTATGGTAATTGTACAGTCAATGACTCCGATGCCCCCCGTATTTCAATAAGTGACATACATGAAATATTTCATGACAAAACTACACAGCGTGTTGAAAAAATTAATAATTTGAAAAGGAAACTAGATGAATTAATTGAGGATGGTCTGTGGGAACCATGCGAAATACTACCTAATACAGACAGCAATAATGAGGAATGCAGTATAAGAGACTGTATTGTCTACTATTTATGCGGGTATGTTTCGAAAAAACTTATGGTATGGAAGAAATGCCAAAATTGCATCAACTTTTTCAAAGCTTGTAGTATTGAACATCCTGCTTCAGAATTAATTTTGCTCAAGTCTAGGGGAAATCTTGTTTATCCTAACACACATTTATTTGAATTTCTGAGTTGCCTGGAACATTCTTTTTCCAAATACTGTCAAGAATATGATGTTTTTGACAAAGTTATTGATGATATCACAGAAAATAATTTTGATTTTAAGTTCCCATGTGTTCAACATGTAACAGAAGTTACCACAGAAATAATAGTGTATTACCTTCAAATGCGACTCAGACAATTTACTTATCAGGAAAACTTGAAGATGAAAAAAATCTCCAGAGAAAAAAAAAAGTCTCAAAACTATACAACTCTTAGTTAATTATTATTTATTATACCTACTATTATATTAAAATTTTTGCATGTTTTTAATGGCTTTTTAAAAAATGAATTCCTTATTTGCTTATATTTTGTATTATTACTTATTGTTTTTTTAAATTTTGACATGTCTTTTAAAATAGTATAAAGATTTTTTTCAGTGGCCATGATCATAAATTTTTTATTTAGTGCAAAAACATCTAACAAAAACAATTGTATTTTGTGTTTAATGATTTATATAGGTGTATTATTAATTTGATAATATTTGTTTGCAGGATAAAATAATCATTAATGAAGTAGATTGCTGTATTTCACCAACTAAAGCTTCTTTGGTAATAACAAATAATTATTACTATAATGATACTAATTGGTATAAATGTTTATGTTTCTAATAAATTGTAAGCCGAACTTATTAATGACAATCTATTATGACTTAATATTTTTAATAAAGTGAATTAAAATGCGAAAATAATTAATTTTTATTGTTTTCTAGCTGTAAGTTGAACGATTTTCGAGTAAATCGCGTATTAATGAAAAAAAAACAGCAATGCACCTAGGTAGTGTTATCAAAATAATAAATAATAATTAATTGTAAATAAATGCGAATCTTATATAATAAACTCATTATTCTTGAATGCTTTATGTTTAAATAGTATGGCCCCAAACCACTAGCGCTATTAGTTCCAATATACACCACTCATAACCGCGTGATAAGATCCGAGCGCCAACCTGTGTATATAACCGTGATTTCAATCATAATGTTATCGGCTAGTGGCCGGGGAGAAAAATCCGCGTATTATACGCGCCATTGAAAGTGGATTCATGACAATTATAATACAATATGCCATGCCACCCATAGAAAATAGAATAAATAGAAGGGCAACTGCTATAGAAATATTTGATAGTGGACGGCTACTAGCGCTCTACAACGATTGTCGTAATGACTACCTCAATCGAATTGAAATTTTAGTATCGAGTTATTAGTTGGTAATCGATAATAAGTAATCGATCGTACATTCTCCAATCCTATTATTATATTAACTTTTTCAAACTTTCATTGGAAATAATTTAATTTAAACGATTGTAAAATTAACAAACATAATTATATTTATTTTGTAAAAAGTATGTTACAAGAGATACATTTTAAATAGTTAAAAATTAAGTAAAAAAAGTAAAAAGTAAAATATACAGTGCATACAACTCTTAAAATTAATAATTACATATAAAATTACATATTATTATTATATTGCTTACAATAATGAAAATAGTTATTACCTACTCATTAAGTTATTATACATAATTAACATTTTGTCTCTGCAATGCAATTCTTTTCTTTGAGTATTTTTTAAAATAATTATTTGCAGATAATTTTATAAGATCTTCTGTTACTAGTTGTTCACCTTTACTTAATATGCGATTAATATGGTTAGTGTATGAATAAATTAAAATATTACACACAGTATTTACAAAAATAATAGACAAATCATGATTTTCACAAATAAGATTTTTAAGTTAAAAAATTTGAAGAATAACTTGTTTCACAATATTTTTAAAAATGTTAGAACCACCTTTTTTATAGGCAAAATGGTGAAAATTTAAATTAAAAAATTGTATTATATAGCTATATAAATTAATTACATTTTTATCAGGGAGAAATAGTTTACATTGAGAATAATTTCGTAGTTGTATTATAAAATGTTCATCCAAAACAATGTCAGATGAATGCAATTTTGAAACGACAATTCTTAGTAATTTTTTTAATTTTTTTTATTACCCATCCAGTAACATGAGCTCTACTTCCAGAATTCACTTGAGAATTAGAACTGGGCATTTCAACATCTGGAATTAGGTTGAACTCTGAATGGTAGTCTCTTCTAAGGGTACTTGATCAAATAAGAAATTCTTTAAATTATCTAAAGCACCATCACAATCATCATTTTCACAGTTTGATCCTACTGAATTAGACGTGAAGTTGTTTATTAACAATGCTTTAAACGATGAAATAAACCATAGCCGGTGTTGGTTTTATATTCCTGACTCCATGACTACGAATAGAACCAAAAAAGTTTTCAATCGGATCTTGATTAAAATTTCGCAACAGTACAAATGCTACAATAACACATAATGTTATACTATAACCTACTCTGTTCCAAAAGAGAACGGTCACTTTTGCGCATACGACTGACGGCTGCGGCAGTGCCAAGGCCAAATCTCTCCCACCTTGCTAGCCGACGGTTCACGAAGGCGTTGACGAGGTTTTACGATTACTGAAACGCGCGAGGCCTGCGGCTACTTTACTAATTACTGATTAGTAATGCGATTGTGTTGAATTGGTGAAGTGTATCACTGCGCAATTTTTCTTAGAGAAAAATGTTCGTCAAATCCTAACACTCATTTTTTAGACAAAATTAAGAATAATAGAAAATCATAATAACACAATTATAATGTAGGTAATAGTCAAATTAATAATAGTAATCATAGTCAAAAACAATAATACAAATATAATATTAATTATATCGGGTAATTACTAATTGTGGATACGACCGATATCGCATCTAATTTAATGGAGTGATGGGCAATGTAAGACGCAGTTTTCTAATTATCATAATATTAACTTTATACATTATTAATTAGTTTTTAATATTGTATTGTATCAGTTTGAATTATTTTATATTATGATTAATTTTATATTTTATAATTAAATACTTAACAAGTACTAATCAATTAATTAATTAATATTTTTTATTCTCTACCTAGGTCCTAGATACAAGTTATAGATAATAGTTAATTCACTGATGATCTATTCGGAAGTTTATAAAAATTAAAAAAGTAGTTCAACTTCAACTGAGTGTTAGGTACCTAATTTCAGTATTATAATTTTTGTATACACTATCACATAGGAGCCACACAGTTACGCACGACGCACGCACGCATAGGAGCCACACAGTAACGCACGACGCACGCACCCGCAGGACCATGCAGGATGCACACGTGAACGCACGCTGGATCAGGCATTAATGACCGCCCATTTATGGGTCGTTGGTGGGAGATGCGCAGCGACCGACAAAAACCGGTCGGCCGAAATGACCGTTCTCTTTTGGAACAGAGTATATAAGCCTTTATTCATCTCAGCAAATCGTTTCATGATTGCTCCAACGCATTGACTAAAAACTTGAGCTGCATTAGCCACTTTCATTTTTTTCAGTTTAGCTGGATACACATGACAATCAGTGAGTTTGGGTGTTAAACGATCTCCTTCTGTGCTTTGCTGTTTGTCAAGTTCAAAAAATTGTATTATATGTTTCCAAGAAGCAGTATGGTTTTTCCCCTCATATTCAAAATTTAAATCTTTAGAGACTAAATTATTCCTCAGACCTTTAAGCAAATGAGGCACATCATAAAAAGGAACTATGTCATGGCCTCCTATTTCAAAACCAAATCCTGTAAACTCTTGACCATTATTTTTATAAATTTTATTAGTGGTTTTTTGTAATCTATTAATAGCAGCTACATTTGTGGATGCTTGGTCACAAACTGTTGAAATAATCGTGAGCCCAGTTGATTGCACAGCCTCAATAACATTTTAAATAATTTCTGATAATAGAGTGCTTGTCATTCCACTACTGGTAAGGTAAAAAGCAACTGGTTGTTTAAATTTCTTCCTGCATCCTCTAACCATAAATACCAATGCTTTGTCGGCAAATATATTAGACATATTATTTTCACTCAGATCTTCAAATCCAACTATATTGCCTTCTTGTGCCATATATTGTAATGATGCTGATAGTGCAATTTCATCAAAAATTACTGTGCAATAACGGTATAATTTATTTTTAATTTTTTTAACTGCATTTATTAAATTTTCAATATTTGGTTAATTCCAGTTTGAAATTTTATTTTCTTCAATATGTCCATGATACACTTGCGCGATGGGGGAGAAAATACTTTAGAAATCATCCTGTAAGCTTTACCACTCTGCTTATATAATGACAATGCAAATACTTTGTCGTCAACAGTGAAACGCCTGCCTCGAGGTTTTGTGGTTTTGTGATTCAATAAAATTAAATGTAAATGAATTAAGTCTGTTCATTTGCTTGGAATTACTATTTATATATTTTTCAGCTTTTAGAATGCGTTTCTTAGCACTTGCATAACGTTGACTTAACACTAAATTTCTTTGCTTATATCTCTTGGTCACATTATACAATAAACTTTTTCTAGGTGTCAAATCTGTTTTTCTATGAAAATTTATATCCCTTAATGTGCCTTCAAATAATCGTTTTGGAAGTAAACAACGTGTACGACCAACTGTAAAAAGTGTTATACAAATTTATAAAAACAATAATTTACTTTATTATAAAATGAATCTATTTTTTGTAAGTAACTTATTAATCTACCTGTGTTGATTCCAGAATCAATAGCCATTTGTGAAATAGTACCTTCATCAAAGTCATTAGTAATAATCTCAATAGACATTTCAGCTTCATCTTCATAAGTGTAATCTATATGTGAAAAATATTAAGATTTAATAAATTATAAAATGTAATAGATAAACCTAACCTAACCTATGTAATACATTTTCTAAAAACACCATCAAAAATATTATTATGCTAAGTTGTATGAAAAAATTATAAATTTAATGAATTAATCATGGAACATTATATCATGTTTAAGGGACCATTACCTCAAAATTGATTTATTAGATGATAAGTGATTATTTGTGCACCCCGGTATTAGTTTTGCAATTAGCTACCTACGTATTATTATTAGTTACCATGAAATTTGTATGCCACTCTGTCATGTTTTACAAAATGTAATATGGATAATATACATATTTTATTAGGTATTCATATTATTAAACACAATTTATGTATCTTACCTGTATTTAATTCAACATCTATATCAGAAGACCTTGTACGATTTACAGATTCAGAAGGCTCTAAAATCAAAAAAATTTTTAAAAAAAATTGATATAAATTTTGATTTTAATATCCAGAAAATATC